CCCCAGAGCAGGCGGTGAGTACCGAAGGGCCCGGTACTGTCCCCGAGTCAGGGCAGACCCCTGTGTGCGGGGCTGAAACCCCAGTAGAGTTTGTGCCTGAACCAGGCTGTAGTGAACCCCACAGTGACTCACAACCTTGTGTGCCCATAGAGCCTGCACCGCTTCGCAGGTCTCAGCGTACGCGGCAGATGCCGACTTATCTAAAAGACTACGATTGTAATAAAGTATTTTGGAACAGTTGATGTACAACAGCATGACTTGAATGTATGTAAATAATAAAGCAAATGGATGATGACTTAACTTAGGGGGGAGGAATTGTAATGTATTGAAACGATTACATGAATCACCTCATAGGACTCCTATGTTAAGCTTCGAGCCAGACCAGGGCTCCTCGGAGCGAACTTCCTATTGGGCGCTTCATAACAGCGACCAATCAGAACTGTGCCTTTTCCCTGCGAGGGAAAGACTTTCATTGGTCCTTAACTAAGCAATCTCATTGGTTGTTATTTGTAAATAGGCGTAGCTACATTTGTTAAGCTTCGAGCCAGACCAGGCTCCTCTGAGCGAACTTCCTATTGGTCGCTTCGTAACAGCGACCAATCAGAACTGTGCCTTTTCCCTGCGAGGGAAAGACTTTCATTGGTCCTTAACTAAGCAATCTCATTGGTTGTTATTTGTAAATAGGCGTAGCTACATTAGCCCGGTTATGTTTAAAAGGAGCATAAGCTCCCACTGTTTTCTGTTCTGGTTTCTTACTGAGTTTAGTGCTTGTTCGTTACTTCCAATAAAGCTGAATCACTTGCTGAATCACTCTAAGAGTCCTTTGTTAGCGCGATCTAACAGTAACAATTGTTGCCAATCTCCAGGTGAGGGCTGGAGACCACTCAAAGTTACAACTACTCTTCAGGTAGCAGAGATCAGTTCCTCTGGAGAAAATGGTGGACTCTGTATCATCATACCCTGCTGAGGTCACCACAGCAAATTGACACTGAGTCTTCAATGCCTTGGCATACTCCCAGAGCCTCTTTCTAGAGTTCAATGTATTTATTTCCACAACGGGCCTTATTCCTAGTTAAATAAATAAGGGGCATTTTATTAGATCTTCAACACCAATAATCTGCCAAAGAGCCCACTGACAGTTCTTACCTAACCATGAGTTTCCTGAAACTAACATGATTTATACCTCTTGCATACTCTTAGAGGATATTCCTATTAAAATATGTTGATCCCATTCCAAAGAAGCAGCTTTAAGCTCCTCATATCTCATAGAGTGCACAAAATTGTTAGTCCAGGGTCAATTAGTGACCTGCCATTAGCTCGAAGTTCTAACCCCCATCTCTTCTTGCTCGAACTTGAAGTAATAGTTCTATTTATTTTTATATAAGATATTCATAATAAGCAAGTGCTGTTCAGCCCTCAAATAAATCTATAAATTTGTGGAGCTGAAGCATTTTTAAAAAACTGTGGAGAGTGGGGCAGATAATATACAAAGACACTATTCAATGTGTAGGCAGATAGGAATGCTAGTACCAGGCAGTTAGCTCTCTAAAGAATGTTCCTTTGGCAGTGGCTGTTTGACTAAAAATGAGAGGAAAAAATGAATTTTAAAAGTTTCTGGCCTGCAGTTCGAAAGTGATAAGAAAAGTTGGCTGTTCAACATAAGCTGCCAGTTGTGTATTCTGGGTGCTCTTGGTTCCTCCTACAGCCATGGCCCTGACTGATGTTTTTACATAGTACAAAGTAGCTGTTTATTACTATTGACTGTTGAGGCCTGTGCTCTGAAATGCATTCTGTCAATGGAATGTAACTGAACTTGGCATTTTAAAGCTCTGCTGTTGCAGTAGCTTAGTTTTCCTGGGATTTCTATGCGGCAAGACCTGCTGAAGCTTCTGCTTTAAGTTGAAAATGTTACATAGGAAGACTTACCATGTAAAGGTCAGATTTGACTGGGGATCCCGAGGGCTTTTTAATTATCACCAGTAATGTAACATTACCAATCCGTGCCTTTTTGCTACATGTCAAAGCCTGATAATAATGTTTAATATTTTTAATGTACATTCTCTGACAAAATTGTGCTTGTATAAATGCATTGCTTTATCAATCATGAGGAAGGACAGTACATTCTACATAGTATATAGCATAATTTTTCTTTAGGAATGAACAACAACAATGGATCAAAGATCTGTTTAAAATACTCAGTTTAATTATTTTGCGCTGGGGATTTGGTATGAATGAACGTTTACCAGTCATTCTATAATAACAGTAATAAAGAACTAGCATTGTTATTCCCATTTGTGTTTCCAAAATGAAATGAACTCTGGGATTTAATTAATTCAGGTAAGATCTTTTAAGAAATCACAATATCAGTCTATCTTTACATCTTTATTTTTATCATAATTGACAAGAACCACTTTTGACTTATCTCTGGCATTTATCTGACAGTATTTCATGCATCTTTTTTCATCATAGGAGCTCCAGAAAGAAATTGAAACGCACACTGACATCTTCCACAGCCTGGATGAAAATGGACAGAAAATCTTGAGGTCTCTGGAAGGTTCTGATGATGCAACCTTGCTGCAGAGACGCCTGGATAACATGAACTTCAGATGGAGTGAACTTCGGAAAAAATCTCTTAATATTAGGTAGGGCTCAAACGGGTGCTAAAGGGCTCAGGCTGTCAGTAATTGTTTGTGTTGCAGTAATGTAAGAATGAGAACGTATAAAAATAGTTTTAAGTAGTTTTAACCAGCATCCATTTTCCCCCTGAAGTGTACACTTTTAATAATACTGCTAGATATGGATTCCCATTATGTCATAATCAAAATGATGACATATACTATATAGCCAGGATGATAAGGACAACATAACAAAGATGATATCTGAGGATGCTAATTGTGTATTAGTACATATGAATCAAGCCCTGAGCTGGGTAGCCCAAGCTAGCCCACTCTCATTAGATCTTGGAAGCTAAGCAGGGTTAGCTCTACTTAGTATTCGGATGGGAGACTTCCAAGGAATACCAGACAGGCAATGGCAATCCACCTCTAAATTTCTCTTGCCATGAAAACCCTATGGGGTTGCCATAAGTCAGCTGTGATTTGATGGGGAAAAATTAGGAACTGCCGGTACAGTAAGAACTACTTTTGATTCCCCCCCCCCTCTAACTATTTCTGGTCCTGAAGAGGCAAGCCACTATTTAGTAAATTTAAAGTAGGGGGCGCTACGGGGGGGGGGGGGGGACTTCACCAAAACTGCATTTCACTGTGTAGCAAATATAACAATAAAGCATTAATGATTATCTTGAAATATATACTAGAGGCTGTTTCTGTTCTTTGTATCAATTGGAGCAGAGCATCGTAACATGATAGCTGAGTCTTAAACCTATTTATTTGTAAATCTGTAGTACGAGTAGGGTGTGCAAGAACTTGTGGGGACATCACACTTTCGCCTCCCCCACTATTTCCTCCTTCCTTCCCCTGAAAGCCTCCATAGCCTCTACCCCTTTCCTGCTTCCTTCTTGCCTTCCAACCCACTAGCTAACCTACCTTTGTCTGATCTTCATCTCCAGCTTTTCCTGCTTCCTTCCTCATGACAATCTGCGTCACCCAGAAAAACTCTGGCCAAATTGTGTGGTGCAGGCTGAGCCAAGCATATATGAGTGGTGGGAAATCTGCAAGGACTTGTGTGTGGGGGTCCTGTATCCCCTCAGCATGCTATTTCCTTTTCTCTCTTCTGGCAACCCCCACATCCTCACCTTTCCCTGCTTCTTCTTTCCCTCTTCCCACCAAGCAGCCTGCCTTTTATCTGCCCCCAGTCTTCAGCTATTATCTATTTACTTCATTTATATCCCATCTTTCTCCACAATGGGAACCCAAAGCAACTTACATCATTCTCCTCCATTTTATCCTCACAACAATCCTGTGAGATAGGTTAGCTGAGAGTGTGTGAGTGGCCCGAAATCACTCAGCAGAGGGGGGTTTGAACCTAGGTCTCCCAAATCCTAGTCTGAAATTCTAATAACTACAATAACCACTAGCTGTCCATGGGGTAGCTTCTGTTGAACAGTAACAAGCAGCCAAGTATGGATGAGTCATGCAAGTTGCGCTGTAGCAAGTTGCCTGGTGGTAACTGGCTTCCACTGGCCCTAATGAGTCCTTCCTCAAAGGCCAAAAGAGGCCTGGAAAAAGCCCCTCCCCTTCCTCTGAAGACTGGCAGTAGTGTTGTGGCTCTCTAGCAACAGCCACTGAGGGCATTTGTTTCTTAAAGCTACAAGGTATTGCTTCTATTAAAAGAGTCTTTGGAATAGAAAGCTTCAAAGGGCTTAATCGTTCTTTCTGCAATAATCATCCAAGAGGCTTATCACAGACTGTC